AGTTTCTTCGCTTGGCTGAAAGTGGTGAACTGCCGAATTTGGTTTTCTCCGATGAGAACACATTCGTTGTCCAGCAGTTTGTAAACAAACAAAAGAGGACAGCTGAAAATGTGCACCTTCGGTTGGCCACCAGAACTCAAGCGCCGGCCATGGAGATGGTGTGGGCCGCCATAACAGCCGATGGTCGCTCTCCGCTTGTATTAATCGACCGTGGCATCAGAATAAATGCGGAATATTATCGCGAAAATATTTTGGAAGGAGTATTAAAGCCTTGGGCACGAAAATATTTTGACCGCAGACATTGGACATTACAACAGGACTCAGCACCATCCCACTCAGCACACGCCACACAAGAATGGTTACAAAATGAGGTTCCTCGCTTCATTTCCATCGCACAATGGCCACCAAAATCTCCGGATACCAATCCGTCGGACTATTGTATTTTTGGAAAGCAATGTTGGCACTGAAAAATACCAAAGTGTCGATCACCTCAAGCAAGCGCTTCGCCGGAAATTCGGGAAAACATTCCGGCAGCGTGTGACGGTTTCGTTGGCTGTTTGGTCATAATTCGTGCAGAAGTGACCAATTTGAACAAATCTAAACTTATTCTAAAATTTGATGCTTTTTCCGACATTTTTTGCTTTCATTCAATAAAATTTAAAAAAATGTAAAAATTATTGCATTTTTTTATCTCACCCTGTATGGCAACCCTTTCCCTACGAACTCGCCCTTGTCATTTTTTAATAAAATCAAAGTGTGTCTGGTTCCCCCAAAATTTGTATCAAATGTTACTGGAAGTCGTCTGTTAAAAAAGTGTTCTGCCAAAGAGAACGGTTTGAGAGAGAAACGTTGAAAGCTCTTTTACTGTGAGCGCTAAAATTCATGTTAGAGACATTTCTTTTTAAAATCACTTGTAACTCTTAAAAGTTAAAGAGAATAATTTTTCTGCTCCTTGTGATTTATATTTAGGCAAACAATTTTAAAACATCTTTATTTTGGAAATAACAAACCTTACCCCTTTTGTTTTTCGGATCATTCCTAATTTTCGCATTTTTAATTTCTCTTTATTGCGGACAAATCGTTTGAAGTTTTTGCAGGGATTCTTTCTGCCTACTTTTTATGGTTTTTTTGTGAAAGAGAATAATACAACCTAACTCTCTCAGAAGGAAGATGCTGAACAATTACAGTAGGAAAAGTAACTAGACAAACATTCCATTTGCATATCTAAAATACTTACGTATGACGAGTGGCATATTTTACAAAAATAATATATAATCAATAATTTTCGGCGTTCTCTGACGGTGTTCGGTGTTCTCCTCCTCTCTAAAGAGGAACTACAGAATATAAATTTCATATTTTTCGGAAGTATTCACAAAAACTACGTCTATTGCCCTGCTATTTTTCGAAAACCTATTCTAAAAAATTCCTCAATTCTTCAAAAGTTCCGATCTTTTTAATCCACATTTGTTTCTTTGGTCCATTGTAATTTGTTTTCAATTAGCTGCATTTAGCAATTAGCTATACGTATTTAATTGAATTCATTTGCTGCAGTATCCAACGGCACCGAATTTAAGCTTATCAAGTTTATTAGACAATCAATGCCCAAATTTGCGACCGGTTATCAACGACTCATTTATATTATATTAATTTTAAATGAATTTAAACATTAATTTACAGTTATCAATAACAAAAATGTAATTATATATTTATTATTATTTTTTCCAATTTACACTCCATGGCATGCTGTGCTTATTCGTGTTAATGGATTCAGAGCAATATTTTTATAGAAAACAGGATCTTAAGACATTTTACAAAGAGTATGGACATATTTACAACCACCATTGGTAGGAGGTACGTAAAGAGGTAATGAGATGGCCAATGTGAGCTTTGATTTGGTTTAAAAAGAAATGATGGAAAATGTTGTACCATGGGCAGAATATTGCCAAGGGCAAGATGCTCAATGAGTGTAAATTAAATGCTTAATTTGGACATACAATTTTTGGGAATTATTTATAATAAAACTTAAAGTTAATTTTTTCTGGATTTTAAAGGATGTTATTGTTTTTAAAAAAGAAAAAAAATATTTGCCACACTTCTTGGTTTTTTTTTTTGAAAACAATAACATCGTTTAAAATCCAGAAAAAATTAACTTAAAATTTTATAATAAATGATTCCCAAAGTTTTAATATCCAAATTAAGCATTTAATTAATATTCAATATTTTTCGGAAATGACTAATTTTTAATTCAGTTTGCAAAAACACTCTATTAAAGATCGTCATAAATTATTATTTTTTTTTTTTTTTGTTTTTGCCTTCAAACAATTTTGTTTATACAACAAATAACCAAAGAGTTCTCCCAATGTCATTGACGTAATAATGACAATGAATTTTTCAAAATTGAAAAAAAAAACAAATCCATGCTACAGTGTACAATAATTAGCTTTTTATAGGTATTGATAAAACATCCATTGAATACTAATGGAATTACACAGCTTAGGCATGTTCGGAAAACAGTTAAAGTGCAGTTTATGGGGATTCGCCTCAAGAAATGTGTACAAGTATTGTTGAGTTTGTTGAGGCGCAATAGGTACAAATGAAAATGAATTGTGATGAACACTTATGAACATTGAGAATTTTAATGTTTTTTTTTTTGGAGAGGAACGGGTGCAACAATTAAAATCGGACCAATTTATTGCTAAAAAGAAAGTAGACCTTTCAAACAAATCAAACTCATCAAAACCATGACCGAGTCGATTGTTTTTGTCTTAGATGGCAAAAAAAATCGATGGCAAAACTAAATTAAACTGTGGAAGAAATCTTATCAAATTTATGAACTGCTATCAGGGCATTTATTTAAAATCTATAAAAAATTGCCATACAGGGTGAGATGAAAAATCTGCTACCAACTTCAGACTGCTGTAATTTCTAAGCCACTCGTCCGACAGCTGTTAAAATTATTTCAGTGATAAGCATTTTGGTGAGAATTTTCCAGAAAGAAAGTTATTCGTGATGGAATTCAAACGTGATAGTGTAATTTCTTTATAATTGGCTGGAAAACCACAACTGGCTATCGTTAGAGCACTCCAGCATTTAAATGTGAATAAATCTTTTGTGTCTCGTACCATCGCTCGTTACCGTGATAATGGTAGAGTAGCCCGATGTCAAGGAAGTGGACGGAAGAAAACAGCAACATCAGCAGAAATGGTTCGAAAAGTAAAGAAGTGACGTGATCGAAACCCGCGTCGCAGTGGCCGAAAAATGGCTCGTGAGCTGAACATATCGCAATATTCCATTCGGCAAATATTGAAAAATGAGCTCAGGGTAAAGCCATTGAAATTCCAAAAAGTGCAATAACTTACACCGCAGCTCAAAGAAAATAGACTCAAAAGAGTTAAAGAGTTGCTTCGCTTGGCCGAAAGTGGTGAACTGCCGAATTTGGGTTTCTCCGAGAGATGAGAAAACATTCGTTGTCCAGCAGTTTGTAAACAAACAGAATGATCGTGTTTACTTGCCAAAGAGGTAACCTAAAAAGGTACACCTTCGGTTGGCCACCAGAACTCAAGCGCCGGCCATGGCATCAGAATAAAGGCCGTATATCATCGCGAAAATATTCTGGATGGTGCATTAAAGCCTTGGGCAGGCAAACATTTTGGCCGCAGACCTTGGGCATTCCAACAGGATTCAGCACCATCGCACTCATTTCCAGCGCACAATGGCCACCAAAATCTCCGGATACCAATCCGTTGGACTAACAAGGTCGGCACTAAAAAATACCAAAGGGTCGATCATCTCAAGCAAGCGCTTCGCCAGGAATGGGCCAAAATACCGCAGAGAAACATTTGGGCAGCGTGAGACGGTTTCATTGAAGGCCATAATTCGTGCCAAAGGTAACCAATTTGAACAAAATTTCTGGATACCAATCCGTTTGACTTTTGTGTCTGGAGTATTTTGGAAAGCAAGGTTGGCACTAAAAAATACCAAAATGTCGATCACCTCAAGCAAGCGGAAATGTAGCAAAATATCGCAGAGCAACATTTGGGCAGCATGTGCCGGCCTTCTGAAGGCCATATTTCGCCATTTTTGGTGTCATTCAATAAAATTTAAAAAAATTAAAAATTATGGCGTTTGCTTTGTTGCAGTTTTTTATCTCACTCTGTACATTCTTTATTCTACGATGATACTACCTAGTACCGATAGATTTTGGGTATTTTGGGATTTGATCAGGTTTCTCAAATTAATTAGGTATACTTTGGTGTTTAAGGTTCTCTTAAGTACAGCAACTTTTTTTAAAAAAGGGCGAAATCTGTCCTCCTTTTCCAAAATCCCTCATATAGCACAATTATTTCATAATTTGGATTTTTGGATATCATTGAACACATCATCTATGGTATAGGTCGATTTCAGGTATTTTGGAGTTCTTGATTAAATTTTCGCACGTTTTCGTTTAGAGCTCATTAAACATTACTTCTCATTGAAAACGTCAATTCCCCCCCAAAAAAAAATGTTAAAATCGATTCACGTTCCAAAGCTCCCCAAAAAAAGCGGTTTCGACAGATTTTAGGTATTGCCGTTATTTTCAAATTTAATCACCTTTGTTTTGGTATTTAAGGTCCATAAACCCCCCAAATCGCACAAAAAATATTGAAATCTTTATTCAGTTTTTTTATCCCCTTTAGGGCCGTTCCGATATTTTATCTTTTCAAGCAAATACTTATAAAAGTAGGTGTGCCATCCTTCAGACATTTTTGCTGGGTTCAAAGTTTTTATTTCCAAATAAATCATAAATCTTACTTTTTTATCCAACACACATGTCTTCAAAATCAATATATTTTCACAAACACAAAAAACCTTTCAAAATAAATTGATTTAACCAATATGGAATTATTTTATTTACCTCAGTTTCTCAAGTCCCTGAAAAACCAGGCAGCCACTTAGCGTCTTATTCCCCTATATCCTTAGTTGTTTACAGTAATTTTAAATATTTTTTTTACTATTCTTACATTTGGCAAACAAAAAATTCCGACGATTTTCACTTTTCTTCTCTTCCAATATTTTATTAATTTTATTTATTATCACCTGTTTTTTTTAGGAGGAAGGTAGGTATTTAATTTACAACTTCTTTTCGGCCCAAATACATTTTTTCTTCAATTTTGTTTTTTCAATACATATTTTATTAAACAAATAAAAATGTTTTTTTTTCGTGGTGTTTGCTTTGCTATTTTTATTTATTTCGTGCTTTTTTTCTTGTTGTTGATTTTAATTATTTACACATTAAAGAGATAATTAATATTTTTATTGTTTGGTCGACGAATTGATTTCCAGCGGGCGATATTTGCGAGCGGTTTTTGTTTCGTTGTTGTCGTCGGTTTTTGTTTTTTGTTACTACGTTTCCGACACGACACACGTCCGTTTACAAAAAGCGTCGAAATTATACTCACTGAGCTGAGTCTGGCCGGCTAGGTTGGCTGGCTGGCACACCGGCACTTGTTGAATGAATTTTCAAATTTTGCTGATAGCAGCAAGAGTCGTGAATGAACGAATTGAATCCAGTGAGCAATCGAGCAAGAGCAGCACAAGTGGCTGCTCCATTAGCCCCGTAGGGTATGTGTGGTACCACAGAATATTGCAGTGTACACCAATAGCGGTAGACCATGCCTGTGTTTCTTTTTTTTTTTAATTTTGAATAGTAATAAAACGACATGATTTGGCTTTGGAGTGGAGTACTTTAAAATATCTGCAAATTGGTGTATGATAAAACAAAAAACAATTTGGTTTGCATATGCGATTGTTATGTAGAGTGTGAGATATGAGAGAAGAAAAGAAACCAAAACAAAAAACTGCAACAAAAACTCAGTTGGAACCCTAAATACTAGGGAGTCTCTTAATGTAGGTAGGTAACTGTTTTTCTCCTACTGGCGAAACGAAAGTAAAAAAGCAAGCAACAAAAAGGCACATATTGATCGAAACTCTCACAAATCATATTGAACGAGGGTGGAGCAAACATTTGAAGAAATAAATACCTAATTAAAGGTATTACATAGAACGTCTGCCTTAACGGTATCCCCGATATTCGGTATTTTCATCATTTTTGCGATATTGTTCAACGGAACTATTTTAAATTTGGTATTTAAAGTTCGTAGGTTGAAGTACCCAACCTATGATAAATAATTGTCTATTCAGGTTCCCGTTTTCGTATAGCAGTATTCACCAGCAAATTTCGTATTTGAAATTCGTAATGGGTGCTACAGCCTTTGACAGAAAATTGTCTATGCAAGTCCACTCTTCGTATGGACCCCAAAATAACGGTAACTCCCTATCTTCGGTATTTTAAGATTTTAACAGAATTTTTAACCGATTCTATTTTTAATTTATATATTAATTTATTTATTTTTTTGAAAATTGCCAAATTCGTTCCATATGAATGGCCCGGTCAAGCTTAAAGTGAGAGTACATAAAACGCTTTTTTTACTGGCTTAAGTAAAAGAACAATAAAGCGAAGGGTCAAATTCGAACTAAGTCAACCTAAAATCCCTTTGTCAACATAAAACTATACCATGGTAGAAAAATACAGGTAGATGCATCAACGCTTGGGAGCATTGATATGTCAAAATTTTTTAAATTTATTTTCAAATATAAGTAGCTTTTTATATGTTTTCTTATACGACGTCATTCGGTGGTTATTATAAAATGCCTTTTTCAACAATTTTTACAAATTTAAAAATTTTTTCATTCAACATTTTCAATTCCAAAATTGGTTTGACATTTCATTGTCCCAGCAGCTGCGTCGATGCGTCTACCTATATTCTTCTACCATGAACTATACGAAGAAGCCAGTAGAAAAGCGTTTTATTCTCACCTCACCATATACATTCCTGACAAAAAGGAGGAGGTGAAAATATATAAAACGCTTTATTAACTGACTTAAGTCATCGTCATGGTAGAAGAATACATTGATATGTCAACAATTTTAAAAAAATTTATTTTTTCAAATATTGTTAGATATTTTATAAGTTTTTTTTACGACGTCAATCGAAAGTTATTTTAATATGCGTTTTTAATATATTTTACAAATTTAAATAATTTTTCATTAAAAATGTTTAATTAAAAAAATTGTTTTACAGTTCATTGTCCTGACACCTATTTCGATGCGTCTACCTGAATTCTTCCATGACTCAATATAATGTGAAAATACCAAATTTTACGGATTTTTTCTTTTTTGAATGATTTTACATGAAAAATTCATTACAGCCGTGCACAATATCTTCCTTTTATCTTGTATTTCGTTTTGTGTAAAAGCTCCCCAAATTTCCATTAATGTTTTGTGTGTGGTTTTTTTTTAATTTAAGAAATTTGTGAAAAAAAATTAAAAAATCTACGTCTATATAACACAATAAGACTTTAGTACAGAGTTGTATTTTTCTATTTCCTTTGAACTTAAATTACCTTTCTCTTTGTTTCGTGCCATAACATATTAATAATGTTCAAAGCATTTAGGGTGTTTTTAGTAAACAAAAATAATTATTTTGGCCTTCACTAAAGGCAGTAAAGGTGAGAAAACATAAAACGCTGGCTTATGTCATTGGCTGCCTTCTTCATAGAGTAACAAAGGAGTTTTAGGTTGACTTAGTTTGATTTTAATCCTACTCTCCTTTGTTCTTATCCGAAGAAGTCAGCCGATGACTTATTCCAGTCAAAAAAGCGTTTTATGTATTTTCAGCTTAACAGACGGAATATGTTTACATGTGACAGTACACTTTTATTATCCATGATTATTTCTGTGGGTTTGTCACAATTGCCATTTTAAATATGACTCATAATTTTTGCTTTGCATCAAGCAATCTCTATGCACATATTGAAAATTTAACATTACATATGTCAAAAACATTTTGTCTGATAGAGCCTTAAAGCACGTTTACACTACTAAATCCACTCGTATAACTCTAGTCTATGTTATTTGACCTATACCCTTTGAATTGACATTTTATATCGAATGGATTTCGTTATTGGAAATGTATTTTAAAGTTTTAACGAAATAGCCAGTCATTTCCACAATATCATCGTTTACATTTTTAAATTGTATTTACACAAACATTTGTGATTCACCCTATTATTAACTGGCATACGTTAACAATGAAGAGAAATAAATATTTAACAACGAAGGAAAACCAACAAACATTTGTTGCAAATGTATTTTTAATTAGCATAATTCTAAAGATAACACTTGCGGTAGCAAATGGAAAAAAACAAGTAAAAATAAATTTAGTGCGAGGGGCCGACCATAGGTTACCCTACACAACATGGATCTTATATAATAGGTCTGTATCATAACTTTGCCAGTAAAAATGTGAAAGTTAATTCTGCTAAAATATTTTTTTAGTGGTAATGTTAGGAAGGTAAAATCATTTCAAATAAGCATTCCCATCTTTCAAATTTCACTGCATAGAAAGCAGATTCCCATCTCTGATTTGTGTATGTGCATGGGATTTATAAATAAACATTTTGACAATGAGATTTTGTCAAATGAATAATTTTGAAAAATTGTAAACATATGGTTGCTTGGCTTTACCTTCTTAATTCTACCATGGAATTTTCGGCCCCTCAGTGCTGTCACGGAATTAGGATTTTTTTTAATATTTTTACGCAATATTCAGTATTGCGGGGAACAATTTTTAAATGTTGTGTGTTGTAAATCTGATTGTTACTGGATAGAAAAACATAGTTCAATGGAGTCACCCAGATACAACCCATGATAGCTTTCTGTCAAAATTATTTTTGATTTGACATGAACAGGATTTTCTCGTTTTTTTTTTTTATATTTTTCATAATGAACTAAAATTGGAGAAAAATAAATGAAAAGCCTGGATTTTCTTTCAGAAATATTATGAAAAATGCTTCTTTATTGTTTTTTCATTGGCAAAACGTTGATTTTTTAAATATTCTGTTTTTCTTGCTCAAAACAATTAATGCAGAAAAAAAGTGACAGAAGCCGCGCAATGTAAAAATATTTAAAAAAAAATAATTGTTGTATAACTCTAAATCAGTACATTTTCCATTAAGATTTGGCAAACTCTCAGTAACTTATTTGTCACTATTGGGCCATGGAACATGATTGCAGGGGGCAACCTCTTTATCTATCTCTATGTCTGGTTACTTTTCCTGCAGAAATTGTCCAACAGCTTATTCTGAAAGAGAAAGCTCTTTTTATTCTCTTTTGCAAGAAAACTGTGAAAAGTAAACAAACGGAACACCAGTAAAAACTTGCCAGCAATCAGCTGATGTTGTCAAAACCTGTCAATCTGTCCAATTTTTTCTCTCGAACCGCAATCTTATGCAGAACTTTTGTGTTAAAAGATCAGTAACAAGTTGCAACAATTTATAGGTTATCCAGACACACAAATTTTTTTATTTATTTGCTTCAATAGTTTGAGTTGTTCACCATGTTACACAATATTTATATTTCCAAAAAATTACAGAAAATAGTAAAACAACAATAAAATGTTATTTGAACTCAACCTTCAATTGTCTCTATTTTTTTTGCTTACTACAGTTGTAAACCTCACTTACAATTACACGCAGTCATCTACACATACTTACTTTCTATTTAGTTGACCGGCCGGCCAACCGGTTGAATCATAAAATTTCTTCAATTGAACAAATTACGACTTAATGCTGATGATTGTCTTTAATGTCTATCCGCCCTCTTTATTATTTTGTTGAGGAAATTTTCAATTTCATTTGTATTTGATTTGTTTCCCTTTCTTTTTGAGATCACTGATCTTTAACCGCATAAATGCCCCAAAGCAAATAGTAAATTATAGGGTTTGTCATGAAGAAATGTTAGTTTGTGTGTTTTTTAGCGAGAAAAAATGAAAAAATTGACCATTCATTTGCAGGTTGTGTTGGAATATCAAACACAGAAAGTAATGGACCTTCAAACCCATGGTAGAAAAATACAGGTAGATGCAACAACGCTTGGGAACATTGATATGTCAAATTTTTTTAATATTTCTTCAAAAATAAGTATATTTGTATATATTTTCCTACACGTCGCCAATCGGAGGTTGTTACAATATGCATTTTTGAACAATATTTATAAATTTGAGTAATTTTTCATTCAACAATTTCGATTCCAAAATTGGTTTGACAGTTCATTGTCCCAGCAGCTGTGTCGAAGCGTCTACCTATATTCTTCTACCATGTTCAAACCATATAACATGGTAGAATTAAGAAGGTAAAGTCATGCAATCATATGTTTGCCATTTTTCATTTTTTTTTTTATTAATTTGACAACTTTTCTTTGTCAAAATTTATATTTATAAATCCATGGTAGAAGAATACAGGTAGATGCATCATCGCCTGGAAATATTGATATGTCATTGTTTTTAATATTTCTTCAAAAATAAGTAGATTTTTGTATGTTTCCTTATACGACGTCAATCAGATTTTGTTATGATATGCATTTTACAACAGTTTTACGAATTTGAATAAATGTTCATTCAAAATGTTCAATTTTAAAATTGGTTTGACAGTTCATTGTCCCAGCAGCTGTGTGAATGCGACCATGATATATACACAAATCAGAGATGGAAACCAATTTTCTATGCAGTGGAATTTGACAAGGTAAATTACTGCGAATGCAGAGACGGACATACTTATTTGGAATGACTTCACCTTCATTATTTGTCAGGCCATATAAATTAAAAAAACTAGTGACTGAATTTCGCACAGAGTTGGGAACGTAATTTGGTAAATGCTTTTGGTTTGGAGTCTGGAATTATGACAAATTCATAGGATTGAAATGGTCTATTTTTGTCAATACGTCTTACCCAAGGTGTGTTCATTTATGTCGTCTGTAACAATAGATTATTTTTTGGTATTTTTTTGTAAACCAAATAGTCAGAATTCTTTAGGATTTCCCCAAAATCCTTGTATAAAGAGTCAAAGAAATATATAACCCATAGTAAAAACGGCAGCAACACTGTTGAACATTTATTTACCCTCAAACACACGAAGAACTTTTCCTGGTCGATAAAACGATGCTATTTTTGCTTTATTATTTTTAAACATTTCTTCAAAAATACGGGAAATTGTCAATATAACAAAAAAGTATATTTTAATACTGCATTTAAAGTTATTATGATAGCTAACATTTTATTTCGATTAGGCATTAAGCTCCGAAACGATAACAATTTTTATATATTTGTTCCAACAGTTTTTAATTTTGCAAAACGGTCAAGCCTATTATCCAAACGCAACACACCACATTGCAGGAAAATAACAGAGATGCCAGATGAATGGATATTCACCACCCTCTATATCTATTATTGCAAAAAAAAGGAAAACAATAAAACTACTGCAATTCAGAGTGCAAAATTTGGTCCAGATAAAGAAAATAAAAAAACCTTATTATTTAGTGTAAAATAAGTAAAATAAAGTTCTAAAATGATCAATAAATTGGCATAAAAGCACATTTGAATAAGTGATGTTCACAAAATCCTCAATTATTGTAAATTAAACGATAAGAAAGAAATTTGGCGCAAAATTGTGTCACATAACAACAAATACAAAAAAAAAGAGAAGAAAATGGCATTAACCGTTGTTAAATATCGAAAATCTGGGCCTGGAGGAGGAGTGGCTGCAGGCACCACCCCCTCAATATTAATGAAAAGTAAAATGCAAACCCAACAGCCTAGTAAACAACACAATCAGCCCTCATCATCGTCGCCCTCTGCTGACGCAAATAAGGTAGGGAATAATAATACATTTATACATATACCATTTTGTGGGGGTGGAGTGGCGTTGTGATCTATTACTTGTCACTGTTTACTATGCAATTGTTTTAAAAATATTTTATTCCACCAGCTTCATTGAACATAACAGTACGAGGTTGTTGTTTTTTTTTTCTTCTGATACGACCAATCTTTGGCACTTGCATATATGTTGTGGAAGGGTTTAACTTTTTTAGCAAGTCCGATTTTTCGACAATAGATACTTTAACCCTCATTAGTAACAACTATAGTTTAGTAAAAACTGTTCGATTTTTTTTTTGAGATTTTTCCCAGAGGTATTATTTTTGCCTTGATTACGAGATATTATTTGTTCTTGGGGGACCCCTAATATTTGTCCCGAAAGTCCGGGTCTAAGATCCGTTTCTATTTATTTTTATCTAAATTTAACAGATATTGTAAGTAGCCGGTCTTCGGCCGGAGCTTGAGATTTTCTGCTCTAGGTATGTCCCACACCAAACCAAAGTTTTCTAAATTTGATGCCTTTGTAATTCCAACGACGGCTACGCAAAATATACTTTTTTATTGAAAACATAATTTTAATGAACTTCTTAGAATCGGGTTATGCGGATGAAAAAGAGTAACATATAGCCGGACCTTCCATAATTTAATTTTATTCTTGATTTTTTTCTACATTTACAAGAGTGATTTTTTGCAACCAACATCGAATTACTTGTGTTAAACGCAAGAGGCAACCCTTAATCTATTCTCACCTCCATGGTACTATTTCGCTGTGAATGTTAATGTCAACGCTGTGTTATCAATTCCGTTTTATTTCCAGTGAGTGGGAAAGAGACAGTTCTATTGTTTGCAGCACTGCATTGGGAACGCGTTCGTCTCTGCCAATTCGTGCATGCTGGAAAATTATTAAAATTTGTTTTTAATTTATTTTAACATAATTTGTTAATAATTTTAAAAGAATTATTAACGATTTTAGCGAATTCTAAAAATATGCATGGTCTATAAAAGAAGGAAGACGAAAATAAAATAATTGAAGAGATTTCCCCTGGGTTAGTGTTTGTTTAGTGAGAGACCCATTTGTTTGGTGTTCCATACCATAAATTATAAAGTGATGGCATTGATAAATTATAAATAAAATAATCTAATTTTCTTTTCCATTTCTTTAGAAGTCCTTAATAAAACTTGGAAGCAGAACCGGTCTTGTTATCAATAAAATACCCGCCGTTATCAAGCCAGCCATGAAGCGAGCAAGTACAGTAACTGGAGGTAATGTAAATGTTAGACAATTTCAAGTGAACTTTAACTATCTATTGTTTCATTTCTCTGCCACAGATATTGCACATAAAACCCCGAAATTTTCTCTACAGACCATAGCCTCGACGGGTACACCACTGACTAGTTTTCAATGGCAATCAACAATTGGCGGTTCTTCGACAAACAAGAAACAACAAATCGGGGCAGCCATTAACTCACTGCCACCAAACACTATTATTAAGGCAACCAGTGCCGGTAGTGTACAAAACTCAAACGGTACCACAACACGTCTTACCCAAAATCTAACCTCATCTGCGGTTGTATCCCCCGTCTCATCAATGCAGGTCCGGCGGCCAACATTTATCATTAAACGTGATATACCTGAACGCACTATACGCACAATAACACTTGAATTAATCGAAAAGAATCCTCTCGTCCATTTGGGTGTACAGCCATCACGTTTACCGTTGTTGAAAAATGTCATATGCTCCACGGCCAACGTATCCTTGGTGGATTGTTATTTGACATTGAAAAAATTAAAACAAAATGAAGAATTTTCATTGCTAGGCGAATATTTTGAAATGTCCGAGGGTGATGTCCAGCATGCTTTTGCAAGGACCGTGGTGCGTTTGGCCCGTTACTTACGATACCTGATCAATTGGCCCGATAGCAAAAAATACTATGAACGTCATAAACATTTGCCATTTGCATACCGGCAAAATCTCTCCCATGTACAGTCGTTAATAGAATGTGTTGAAATTGATATTGCACCGGGACCATTGCAGATTGATTGTGCATGCTACAAGTTTATATTAAGCATAAATACCAATGGTAAGTTCGACAACGTTGCTGAGGCAAAAATATTCAAAATCATAGTTATGTCTACTTGAGGAAGTCCTCCAACGTTTTTTTTGAAATGGATTGAATCCGACCCTTCCAACAAGACCTATCTGTAATGAGGCGGCACACATCATCAGAACTATCATCAGCCTATATTTAAAAAAGAAATTATGTATTCAATGCCTCGAACTTAGGCAGTAGAGCTTAGATGGCATGTTATTCTATTTTGACTTCGAAATGTTTCTCTGTTATCTGTAATAAGGCGGTACAGATCATCATAACTATCATCAGCCTATAATTAAAAAATAAATTATATTTTCAATGTCTCGAATTAAGGCAGTAGAGCTTAGATGGCATGTAATTCTATTTTGACTTCGAAATGTCTCTCTGTTAAAATCTCTCAAAACTACAATTTTGGTAGCGTGAGATCTAACGCTACCAAAATTGTAGTTTTGAAACTTTAAACTGACATTGATATTGTGCCTAGGATGTTTTGTATCGGGAAAGCAATGTATCTGGTCACGTTTAGGTATAGCCTAATATATAACTGCACATTGTAATATCTGGTATTTTGTAGTTTTCAGTGCCTATTTCAAACTAAATCAGATGTAATTTGACACTTTGGTGTCTCATAGTGTCATTTAATTTTTCGAAAAAATAGTCGATATAGGTCCACTATTAGGTACATCCCCCATGCAATGGTATCTCTTTGTTTTCGGCACTTTTAAGGGTTTCTGTCACATAAACTGTAATGCGACATTTCGAGTTTTTTTTTTTTTTTGTTTCTTGGTAGATAATCTTCCATTAAAAACGTTCGGCATAGGTATAGCTCCCCATAGCACAAAATTTTCAAAAAAGGAAAATTGGGTACGTCAAAAAATTTGCACTCAAAATTTTGATCTAGTTAAAATCGTCTATAGTTTTAGATTACTCAGTCAATTCTTAAAAAAATTAGAAATTGTGGAGTGAAACTTATTAATTATGCTTTATCTTTCCAGGCATTATATCACACGTTTCTGATGCATTCATAGGACACCATGATGACTTAACCATTTTCAAGGCATCAAATTTCAAAGATGTTATACCAAAATATCTCTCCCTAATGGCAGATCCGGGCAAAGCTGTAAGGAGAAAACGTAAACCAAAAACCGCACGGCCTCAGCATCAACAACTTAAGATACCTAGCATAAATAATAATGGTGAAACCGATTCAACAACAGATTCTGCCGACGAATCCGCCGATGATCTAATACACGATGAGTCTTCCCAAGAAGGACGTCTCAGTAAATATACAGCATCACGTGTGGCTGGTGAGCTGGCCTCTAATCAAACACTAACCGTAGTTAATAAAGAATTAACCTCAAGGCGAATGAAGAATTTTAGTGTGCCGACAATGCGTGTTCGAGAGCCAGTGTGTCGTACTCAAATGCGTAACATGCTCGATAATCTGCAAGAGTTTCGTATACTACAGCCATTGGCTATCAAAGAGTCATTTGTGTATCAATATCTCAACGAGGTGCTGATAGTGTGTGCGGCCTTAATCAATCTTCAAAGATAGAAACTGTGGTTTAACTGTTCATCCCTCATCCCTGTAATTGGGTGAGATTTTAAATAGTTGGTTTTTATTCATAATTTTTCTCAGGTTCTCTTTCCCATAAATCTTTTACCATTTCTCTTCTTTTAAAAAAAAACCTTTTCCACCACATGTTGTTGAACATTTTTTGCAAATAGAAACTTAGTTATATGTTCTTAATACATATATGATTTCTTGACCACCTTATATAATTACATAAATATTTTTGTATTATATAAACAAATTTTATTGATAATTTCCTTACTTTACAATCTATTAGTTAGCTTTAATAATTCATTCATTTTACAAAAAACGATAATGTAAATGATTATAGATTTGATCAATTTTAAATGAATTTGAACAATAAATAATTGTAAAATATATAAATAAGAATATCTCTCTGTGTTGTGTAATCATTTAGCAACTGATGATTGATTTTAGGGTGATATAAAAAAGGAAAGACGAGAGGGAGCATTCTTAATGTGTAGTGCCAAAAGTGGTGAACAGCCTAATTTGGTTTTCTCCGATGAGAAAACATTCGTTGTCCAGCAGTTTGTAGACAAACAAAATTATCGTTTTTACTTGCCAAAGAAGTCAGCTGAAATTGTGCACCTTCGGTTGGCCACCAGAACTCAAGCGCCGGCCATGGCCATGATGGTGTGGGCCGCCATAACAGCCGATGGTCGCTCTCCGCTCGTATTAATCGACCGTGGCATCAAATAAATGCCGAATATCGCGAAAATATTGTGGAGGGTATATTAAAGCCATGGGCTCGCAAACATCTTGGCCGCAGACCTTGGAATTGCAACAGAACTCAGCACGCGCCACCCAGGAATGGTTACAAAAATAAAAGTTCCTCGCTTCATTTCCAGCGCACAATGGCCACCAAAATCTGCAGATACCAATCCATTGGACTATTGTGGCTGGAGTATTTTGGAAAGCAATGTTAGCACTACAAAATAACAAATTGTCGATCACCTCAAGCAAACGCTTCGCCGAGAATGGGCCAAAATGCCGCAGAGCAAAATTCGGGCAGCGTGTGACGATTTCATTTGCCGTTTGAGGGCTATAATTCGTGCCAAAGATCACCAATTCGAACAAATCTGAACTTATTCTAAAAGTTGATGCTATTTCCGACATTTTTTGCTTTAAAAAAATTTAAAAAAAAATGTAAAAATTATGGCGTTTGTATTGAGCGATGAGTTTCCATGGTTACATTTTAGATTTACACTGTGTATGTTTATCGATTAGGTCTGCCGTTGGGATTTCAATATAATAGTTTTGGAAAAGGTTAGCCTTTAGAGGCTGAAGTATTTTTCGATGTTAGGTGTTATGGGAGAAGTGAGGAACTTTGTGAGTTTTGTCCCGTTAGTGGGATAGTTGGATGCAACAATTTAGTTCAGTTATATTTTCGGGGCATGTGGTTTGTATCCAATTTAGGGAGAGCTTCCAATTAATTGATTGACAGGAGGGGGAAGGCAGGTGGCTAGGAATTCTCAGCTGGCAAATGATTTTCAGGAAACTATTGACTATAGACCATTGGTCAGTAAAGAATAACTTTTGTTCTAAATATTTTAGATACCGTCTCAAGGTGTTCTGTCCAGCTAAATTTAACACAGATTTAACTGTATGTAATTAAATCATTAAATTCCCAAAATTAATTCCCCAGCTAATTAAATACAACACCTTTCACACAATGGTGTTAAATTTTTGATTTGTGACCTGAAACCCCTTTTGTGGGCTTTTCCGCCAAAGTAGATGAAATCAACATCCGCCTCAAACACAATACGCCACCATCAGACACAATTTTAAAGCGAAACTTTTTGTTTTCGTCTACTCACCTATTAAGGCGGAAACGGAAGTGTTTTGTGTGGTATATTGTGGCCATTATCTGTTGACGATGCAGCTACTGCAGCTGTTACTAGCTGTTGATTTTGAAATAATACCAACGTTTTAATATTTTAGATTTTTTTTTATTTGTAATTCACCGTCTCTCGGGCTATTTAGGTTAGTAACTTGTTCCAATTCCCTGCTGCTGCATTTGTTGTTGTAGTACGTTTTGTGTTCATAATTCTTTTTTATTGTTTTTGTTGTAATGTTTTGTTTCATTTACTGGCACTCATCTGTAGCAGCTGAATGCAGCATTGGAAGTAAAGAGATAAATTAAATGTTACCTCAGCTTACTTTGGGTTTAGGGTGATTGAGACATTTTGTGAAGTCTTTATAGAAGTGAATTTTCATTGAAGTGTATGATGACAAGCACAACTGAAGTCAGGTTGATGGCTGCTTGTCGAAATGTAGAATCTCTTTAGTCCGTTTATGATAAAACGGAGATGTTGTAGTCGGTCTCCATTTATAATCCGATTGTAAATGGGTTAAAAAGGCAATTAGCTGAGTAATAGTCCCACCAGCCATTCTTTTTCGTTTCTAAAAGTCTTATCTGTGCTCATCCAGAGAGCTTCACTAGTTAAGTGTTGATGGCTATCATAGTGATGGCGTGGTACCTTTCATTTGAAATAACATTTCACACATTTAGTTCAGATCGATTTTAGATTTAGCAGCAGTAGCAAGGTACATCCGAAAGCTTTATATGATATATATCGTTATAGATATATTATTACAGATTGTCACAGTTTAGGTGTCTTTTCACGAGTCTATACGTCTTATACCAACAGGTTTTGCTTAGACATAAGGTTATCTCAGTCGCTGCTAGAATCAACCTAAGAATCCACAAACTTTGAGTGACACACGAGTGCTGTAAGTTCGGCCGGGCCGAACTTTGAATACCCTCGAAACGAATACCCTGGAACGAATTTGACAATTTTCAAAAAAATAAAATCCGCTAAAAATTCAGTTGAAATCTTAAAAATACCAAATGTAGCCGTCATATTAGGGTCTAAACGACGACGTGGACCTGAAAAGGCAAGTTTTGTCATAAGCCATTACAATATTCAAATGCGAAACTTGAAAAAAAAATCGGTGAATAATGTAGTTAAAATCATGAATATTGGGAGGTGTTGTTATATGGGGTCTATACCAAAATGTGGACCTGCACAGACAAATTTCTGCCTGAGGCTGCAGCATCCATTACGAACTTCAAATACCAAATTTGAAACTATTTCGGTGAAAAATGTCGCTAAAATCACCAAAATACCGAATATCGGGAGGTACAGTTATATGGGGACTATACCAAAACGTGGACCTACATGGCCCATTTTCAATACAAAAAGTCCTGCAGACATAATATACATTTGAGTAAAATTTTATCAATCTGCTTCAATTCGTCCGGAAGCTAGAGTGATTTCCACAGACAGATAGACGGGCGAACATCGCTAAATCGACATAGAATTTTATGCTGATCAAGAATATATATATATTTTGTGGGGTCTAAAATGTATATTTCGAGGTGTTACAAACGGAATGACAAACTTAATATACCCTCCATACTCTGGTGGAGGGTATAAAAATATGTAAAAAAGAGCGATTTCGATATTTTTCCTAGTGTAGAATCGACTCCTCATATAGTGGAAGTTGTTAGTGGATCTCAGTTAATGCTGTCGGCTCGAAATTATTCAAGTTAATGTCATTTCGGACGTATTCGAGTTGTTGCATCAAGAGTATGGACTGAGAGCGTAGATTGTGCTAAACTCCAGTGTCAGTTCATGGAACGTGCTAATTTTAGAGTTCTTACTATGCGCGCTGCGCTATGCTAGGCGAAGGTAGCTTAATAATGCGACTATACCATACACGCGTGTAAAATATAGTCCATAACAGACCAGGACTAGTCCAAAACTAGCCCAAATGCTTTGAAAAATTATTGAATGAAAGCAAAAAATGTCGGAAATAGCATCAAATTTTAGAATAAGTTTAGATTTGTTTGAATTGGTCACCTTTGGCACGAATTATGGCCTTCAAACGGTTGCCCTGCGGTATTTTGGTCCATTTCCGGCGAAGCGCTTGCTTGAGATGATCGACACTTTGGTATTTTTTAGTGCCAACCTTGCCTTCCAAAATACTCCAGACACAATAGTCCAATGGATTGGTATCCGGAGACTTTGATGGTCATTGTGTGCTGGAAATGAAGCGAGGAAACTCAATTTGTAACCATTCTCGGGTGGTGCGTGTTGAGTGCGATGGTGCTGAGTCCTGTTGGAATGTCTAAGGTCAGGGGCCAAAATGTTTGCGTGCCCAAGGCTTAATACCCCTCCAGATTATTTTCGCGATAACATTCGGCATTTTTTCTAATGCCACGGTCGATTAATACGAGCGGAGGCGGCTATCGGTTGTTATGGCGGTCCACACCATCACAATGGCCGGTGCTTGAGTTCTGGTGGCCAACCGAACGTGCACATGTTCAGCTGACCGCTTTGGCAGGTAAACACGATCATTTTGTTTGTTTACAAACTGCTGGACAACGATTGTTTTCTCATCGGAGAAAACCAAATTTGGCAGTTCACCACTTGCGGCCAAACGAAGCAACTCTTTAGCTCTTTTGAGTCTACTTTTTTCTGTGGTGGGGTAAGTTGTTACACTTTTTGGAATTTCAATGGCTTTACCCCGAGCTCATTTTTCAATATTTGATGAATATAATATTGCAATATGTTCAGCTCACGAGCCATTTTTCCGCCACTGCGACGCGGTTTTCGATCAAGTCGCTTTTTATACGGTACCTCCCGATATTCGGTATTTTGATGATTTTAGTGAGATTATTCACCGGAATTGTTTCAAATTACGTATTTAGAGTTCGTAATGGGAACTACAGCCTGTGACAGAAAATTGTCTATGCAGGTCCAGGTCTTCGTATAGCCCCCAGTACCTTTCTATATTCGGCAGTCTGACGAGTTTAGGCACAATACTCACCGAAATTGTTTGAGATGTCGAAATTTAAGTTTTTAATGGATGCTACAGTCTATGACAGAAAATTGTCTATGCTATTCCAGGTCTTCGCACAGCTCCGATATAACGGTACCTCCCTATACAGGGTTGCCCATATTCGACGGACCCATCTGGCAACGCCATAACTTTTGACAGAGATGTCACATCGCTTAATGACATAGCGCGTTTGAAGCGTCAGTCCAAGCAGATTTTTACCATGAACCAATACACGCCACGCGAGCGCTCTGAAATTTACATTCAACAGAAGAAGTCAATTGTGAAAACTCAACGTGCTTTTAAAACATTAAAAAATGTGAGAAGTGCGCCTTCTAAGAACACCATTAAGCGTTTCTAATCCGAAGAGGCCATAGAAAAGTCGACCAAGGCGATCGGCCGAGAATATCGCTGCCGTACGAGCCAGTGTTGAGAGGTCCCCAAGAACATCCCAAAAACGCCGTTCTCAGCAGTTGGGCATTGCTCGATCCACTTTACAACGGATTATTCGCATTGATTTGCAT